TGTAAGTAGTTTTTCTCCAAAGATTTATCTGTAAAGGATTCCACTTATTTAATATAGAATAAGCTACATTAGCCACTATCACAAGTGCTCCATGTAAAAAAACTCGTACATGGCTTAATTTACTGCATCTCTGCATGTTAGTGTAGCTTGATAAAAATTCAAACTTGCAATGAAAACAAAATGACTTCAGCGGAGGAATAAATAAATGTCGATCAGCCTGTTGAGGTGAAGAGGGCAGGAAGGGAGGAGGCAGCTTCTGACAGGAGAGGCAACCTGAGGTGGGCAGTGACACAACTGGTAGGATCAACATTAAGTTGACCCCTGACCTACAAATCCCCTCAGTCACTGATTAAGTCTCACCGCTCTGGTTGTGCCCGTGCTCAGGTTTATCTGAGTTACTGTTATAAAATACAAAAGGTGTATTAGCCAGGACTGTAGATTTAAACTATAAACATTCAAAGCATATACACCTTCACAGAAATTCAGCTTTTACGCAGGTAAGAAGAATAACTAGTCAAATTATTAATCAGTGTGTAAGGGGGCAGCGTTCACTTCCCAATGTAACATTTACGCTAATCCACATTAACAACTCAAGAAATAAGAGATATGTGGTGACTAAGTTAAATATCTCTCCTTTCCTGGTGTTCTGCTGAATATAAAGGAGACCTAACTGACCTTCTTGTCCCAGTATTGTTATCGACTTAGACATACCTGTGATATACTAGTGGTCATATAATGTGCTTCAACAAAAGCCTTATTGTTTGGTTTAACAGTTCTGAAGTGTGTGTATTACCTGAGAAGCCCAGCGTGTATGAGGATCTATTCATCTTGAAGTGCAGTGTGCCCCGTTGGTTCAACTGGTGCTGTCTCTCAATACCACTGCTGTCAAATAAACATATCTGCACACATCACATATAGAAAGAAACACAAAGAGAGAAATGCACTTTGTACATTTAGTGCAAATTCAGTGGGGCAAGGATTAAAAGTTAAAAAAATTAAGACAAACGAAGATAAATCTGTTCTTCTCTAAACAGGACCATAATTTATGAGAAATAAGTAGGACTTGAACCTACTGAAACCATAAACATATCAGGAAAGTGTTTACTGATTTCATCTATTAGCCTGTTGAACAATAGTGTAATTATAGAAATCTTTACAGTCACAATAACTGAAGGAGTTACACACTATTAGAAAGAATGGTGTCCAAACTTTTCCCCCCAAGAGTTCCATATTTATTAATGGAAAATCACCCAGGGGCCAACAATCCTTCTCACCTTTCTACTTTTCTGTCACATGTGGAGGGTGAAATAAAAAATAAGATCAAGCTGTTTGGAACACCTGAAGCTTCAGTGAAGCTGCTGAAGATCGTCATCTCAGGTTAATTTTAAATCTGACTAATTTTTGTGTGTGTTGCGTGAGTGTATAAAAAAAACTCACGCCCATGAGATGGAAAGAGGAATTACACTTTATTCATTCTGTTTGCAGTGGAGGGCTATAAATACATATAAAATCTGACCTAGGGCCATGATTGGCCCCTGGACGTGGTGGACACGCCAGGTCTGTGGGAACCCAAGCAATTACAGCTAATTATCTTTCAAGTCCACTCTAAGTGCGTCACATTTCTGCTAAAACAACATGAAATGTTTGGTCGACCTACTCACACGTGCTCTGTGTTCTGTCCAATTTGGGCAATCTCCTGTTAATTCCCACCTGTAGGTCTGGGAGGCGGCGGCTGTGAGCAGGGCTGAAGTGGAGCCAAGTCTGCAGTTCAGAAGAAATGAATATCATACACAATCATACAGAGGTTTTGCTTTCCTTACTGACATCTCGGTGGATTAAAGTCTTTATTTTCACTCAGCTAGCTGCAGACTTTGCAGTCTGACTGCAAGAAAAAAAAAGTCTTACACTCCAGTGTTGGATGCAAATTTTGGACGCCTGCGCACCTTCTTATAAGAGCCTGTAAAGGTGTGGAACTCGGTCATGTCTACAAAATGAACCAAATAAATAAATAAAAATATCACTGTATAAAAGTACGAGCAAGAACACATCACTGTAAATGGCACATACTTGAGAAATCGATCATGTAGCCTGAAAATGCAAAGGTTCCCTGAGGGTTCAGGGTGAACTGTCGTTCAACGTCTCTGCTGCTGACTGATGGCGACAACATGCTTAAACCCTGAAGAGGAGGATGACATGGAGCACTCAAGGGATCAAACCTTCATGTAAAACTCAATGTGAGTTTATTTAGAATTTTCTTTTCTCACCTGGGATCCATATTCACGCCACACTTGACCATCTCTGAAGTACCAGCCTATGTCCTCCATCTGCCCCTGAGGAAAGAAGTTTAGTCTCCGCACCTTCATTCCTGGGTCATTCGTCTGTAACCTATCAAAATCTATGAGCACCTTCCTGTTGAAAGACAACACAAAATCCAGTCATCTGTGTGAAGCTTGTTAATGTTCTAAACAACATGGGTGGGAGTAGTTTATATTTGACATGATGTTCTGTGACCTCCCCACCTTTCCCTTTCCCTACATCATATAACAAAGGGGAAACCCTCAAACGGAGGAGCTAAGGTGGGCGGGTCCAATGCAGTTTGCATACTAGATACATGGACGAGGAAGTGGTATGTTCCAGTAATGTGGGCTGGCACTGAGATCAGCTGATCTGTTGATTTTATGGCTTTACTGAACTCTATAACACTGTTCTGAAGGTTGTTCCACCCCCCAGTAAAAGGTTCCATATAAATACTTAAAGGTCCTTTTCTGACCAATGACATGCTCACTTTCAGTTTTGTAAAGCTGCTGATACTATCAGATATGCTCACAACACACTGACCCATGGCGTGTATTGATACTGATTCCCTTGGCTCCTGGTTGGCAGTAGTGTGCCTCTATCACATGGTCATTTTCAATTTTCAGCCACTGATGGCCAACTGACAGCTGCCACTCATAATTCTTCCCGTTGACTGTGAAACACAAGCAAAGATCATGTTATCGTACGCACTCCACTTATTAATATGTGTTTTTGAGCAAATCTGCACAAAGGCTATGGCTTCGTGTGTAGTGTATTTATTTTTTATGGTTAGTTGTTATTTTAGGCCATATTGTTCTTTTTAAGTAGCTGCTGTTGGCACAGTCAGATGAGATAGAAAAATCAATGGTCCTTAAGTCAAAGGACTAAAAGGCAATCCTATGTAAATGAATGTATGCATGTAAATGTGTCATACAGACCTACAGTTTCCTGCCAATAGACCTTTGCTCCTTCATTAATCTAGAATAACAATAAATAAACATATTGTGGTCAAAACCTTTTATCCCCTTTTCCCCCACTGCTTAGACTTATACAGCACTCTTACCGTCAACTCAGAAAAACCACCTGCGAAAACAAAAAAGAAGAAAATCACCTCTCTGCATTGTTGATTAAAATGTAATTAGATAACTTTGTTAAACGCCGGTTTACTTACTTATGATCGAAGACAGACCTAAACGTGCCATTCCACACAAACAACTGCTTTCACTTTCTGCTGGTGGGCTAAAGTTCATCCAGTGTGTGGACTAGGGTTTGGTTGGTCCATATGATTCAGAGAAGATAAAATTTCCCTCAATTGCCTATGAGGAAGACGTACTAATGCTGTTATCGCTGTCTTAGTTACCTGCAATTACCCTTTAGAGAGCCTTGTATGTTCCAGTCTAGAATGGAGAGAGGGCAAGACTCTGTTTGAGTACTTGTGAATAAAACAAAAACACACAAAACCAGAAATTTTTAGGGCATTTCTTTATTAAAGTGCAGAATTGAGTATCCTTGTAATAGAAATAGAATGAAATAAATAAAATAAAATAAAAAAACTCCCACAGTACAATAAAATAAGTCAATGGTAAGGTTCATCACATTGTAGATGTATTCTTTTTGTCAACATAAGTTTACAGATGAACAGAAATCATTTTTGTTTCATTTACACAGCAACAGCCTTCTGCAGGTGCTTTATATTCTAACATTGCAACACACTACAACAGGGGTCTCAAACTTAAGCTGTGGGCCACTGTTGGCACTGTCATCTCATTGGAGGGCCACTTTAAAAGAAACACACAAGAAAACACCCACAAATATTTCCAAAAGAGTGTTTTTGTGTGTGTGTGTTTTTTGTTTTTGTTTAAATTTCAAGTATTGTATAAGACAAAACTACAAACGTGAATGCAGTTTTTCCTGCAAATCCTCTCTAACAAAAAAAAGTAACTTCAAGATCTATATACGGGCTGTAAGAAGGGGTGGCCGCAAGTTTCACAGCCCTGCACTACAACATTTACATAATTTATATTAGGATATATTATTACTACGTTAATGCACAAAGGCTGTATTCTATGTTGGTTTTCTGGTCTTTCCTGCTTCCTTAAATTGATATGTTCCTGCAAATATGTAAACAGCTAATGAGCCATCTCTATAAACACCAAAAACAAATATGGAATATAAAATATTTGAGGAAAAGTTATTACAGAATGCTATGTGACATAAGCATTTTTGTAATGACCTTTGTCACGCTGATTCCTCAGATGATGATTGTTGCTAACAGTTTGAAATGTGTTATCTTTTATTACACTACCTTTTTTGTATAAAACGCTACTAATGGGAGTCTTAATTGTTCAACTGAATCTTTGTGTTCTGTTAATTTCCCCATTTTTCCCATGCAAGATTAAAAATGTCTTCAAGTAGACGTTTGTTATACTTAGATCAACATGTGGATGCATCCTAGCAGAAGCTCAAAGGAGAAACCGAAAGCTTATTCTTCCACAAGATTATTTGTATACAGCTGCTGTCCTGCATGTGTAATTTGGCTTTGTTTTATGTGTCACAGTGCTGGTCTCTTAGGTTGAAGATTTGTACATATACACATCTGTACACCATATATGGTGGTTATTTCTTTGATGACTTTAAAACACGAATTTAGATTTTGGAATGTAAATGTAAGGAACCTCAATTAAGGAAAGTAAACACAAGCAAAGTGCACTGATTAAAAGGCACTTTTAATAAATTCTTAAAAACATGCAAAGGATAAAAAGGGAAAACTTTTAAAAATTCCAGTCATTACAACAACTTGTGAATATTTGAAGATTTACTAAAACATATTGCATTTTATGAAACCACAGTTAAGTTAACAAAAGGCTTAAAGTTAACTGAAGTTTTTTTTTTTTTTTTCCTCCCACTGATTTATTTGTAAACGATTCCACTTATTTAAATATGGAATAATCTGCTAAAACCAGCCCTAAACCCAGAAATGTAGAAAACTGATACAGGAAATACATTTTACTGCTTAACACTAAACGTAGTGTCATCTTAAATGTGGAAAAATAAAATTTATAACGCTTGCATTAAAAACAACATGTCTTCAGAGGGGACAAAGTAAATGTCTATCAGTTGTGTTAAGTTAAAGGCAGGAGGAAGGCAGGAGGCAGTTTCTGACAGGAGAGCCAACCTGAGGTGGGCAGTGACACAACTGGTAGGATCATCATTAAGTTGACCCCCGACCTACAAATCTGTTGTCCGCTCAGTCACTGATTAAGTCTTCTCACCGTTCTGGTTGTGCCCGTGCTCAGGTTTCTCTGAGTCATGGCTATAAAAGACAAAAAGTGCATTTATTCACAACTTCAATTATACAAATCTTTGAATATGGCTTTTAACTTTAAAGGTTTCTGATTATGTTTGCTGCTCACCTGAGAAGCTTAACTCATAGCTAAAGTTCCTGGTGGAAAATGTCATAGTTCCTGATGGGTTTAGTTTGTACTGGAACTCAATCTCCTGACTGGATGTGCTGCATATTCCCTGAATAACACAGAGCAACAACACATCAGAGAAAACACAGTCAGGCAATGTTGTTAAATTCTGGTTAGGTCACCCAATACTTTGCTCAAATTACCATAATTCCATGTTAAAGTATGTAAACTGTGCGAGGGATTGTTTGTGTTTCAGTTTGGAATTAACCCCAAAACCTACAACATCTCAACAGAAATATTATAGATGAATAACCATAATTATATTATATTATACATATATACAGTCAGACAACTTGGGAGGGGGAGGCAGCAGAGATGGAGTGCTGACCTCAGCTGAAGATATTGTGGGGTAGTGGAAGGAGTAGTTTGAAATTTTCCTGAATCCCACTGTTGGCCGTTTGTAAAGTAACAAGACTATGGGGACCAGGATGAGAACTCACTATGGTTCATGCCACTGGGGCTCTGCTCACTGAGGCACATGAAGCTTCTAAGGGACGAGGCCCCAGGTTTCTCAAAAAGCTCGGGATGTTATGGAGCTCTCTTGGTTGACACACTTCCCAATTCCTTACTAGCAGACTGGAGTGGTAGTTTCCCTCTACCCGAAAAAGACACCAAGGAATTTTAAGGTATGTGGGAATTTGCCCAGCAACTCTAGATGTGTTTTGTGGATCTAAAAAGGGCATTTTTGACAGTGCTTTAGGAGTATAGAGTATTGTGGTACAACCACAATGAGAGCTTGGTTCATATTGCCCGCACTAACACAATCTCATTCCCAGAGGAAGCTTGACCGTGCCAGGGCTGTCCTTAGTCATTGATTCTGTTTTTCATGAACAGAATTTCTGGGCACAGCCAATAGTTCAGTGGTCACAGGTTCTTATCTCTTTATTTATTTGCAGATGACATGGTTTCATTGGGTTGATAAAACCATGACTTCCAGCTCATACCGAGATGGTTTGTAGCAGAGTGTGAAGTAGCCGGAATGATAATTAGCATCTCCAACTTCAAGGCCATGACTTTCAGGCAGAGGAGGAGGCGAGGATTGGTAGGTCTGAGCATCTCTGTCCCCATGACCCAGACCTGGCAGAAGATTGATGGACGGCTGGACGGATGGATGGAATGCACTAAATGTACTCTATAGGATTTTCTAGAGCACCGTCTACACATGAATAAAAAGAAAGTTGTGGCTTACTTTGGAATAATCTTTCCATGATCCATCCATATCTAGGAACTGCCATTGTGGCTGAGGGCCTGAACTAAAAACAAAACAAAAAAACAAAAGATTTGAAATTCATTCATTCACAGCATATACATCTTTATGTGCATATCTGGTGTGTTTGAGGCAAAACAAACTTAACATTAGTCAATCTTTTAGTGTTAACATCAGTAAATGTCCTCAAAATATAATATTTAACCCAATTCATGTTATTAATTAGCACAAAATAAGAGATGTGGTCACTGTGTGGCCAAATGTTTCTCCTTACCTGATGTTCTGCTGAACACCATATATAGGAGTCCTTCTAACTGATCTTCTTGTCCCTAAATTGTTGTTGACTTGGTACATACCTATGATAAATTAATGAAGATAATGTCTCAGTGGCCATATGATTTGCTTAAAATTTAAAATAAAAAAAAAAAAAACATGAATTGTTCGGCTTAACAGAAGAGCAGTTCTGAAGTGTGTACAATACCTGAAAAGTCCAGTGTGTATGAATATCTGTTAATCTTGAATTTCAGTGTGCCCTGTTTGTTCAGCTGGTACTGTCTCTCAATAGCAGCGCTGTCAAATGAACATATCTGCACACAGCACATATAGAAAGCAGTTATTGCTGCTAAAATTGGTTCTACAAGCTACTGGGGTGTACTTAGTTTTTCAAGAGGACTCCATAGAATCCTGTGGAAACTTTTCCTTTCCTTTAATGAGAGGTCAGAGGTCAGATGTGACATGATACTTGAAATCTTACAGCCCTTTCAATATGTTGACAGTACACTTGTAAGAATCATACACTCAACAAAAATATAAACGCAACACCTTTGTTACTGC